AGAACAAACCGCCAGTGCATAACAAGTTGTGCAATGCATTAAACACTCCCGACCACTTATCCTCTCAAATGTAGTACCACTTCTCCACCAACCGCCAGACGCTTACCTTTTTTCTCACCCCTAACCAGTGAGATACCAATCCGGTGCTGAACACATGGGCCGAGCCAACATGATGCCCCAGCATCTCTTACACTTCCGGGTTATTCAGACATTCATTCGCCTTATGCAGCCGCATTAGCGTCAAGTTCACATTCCATAACTCAGAATTGCTTCTTGGTGGAAATACCTGTACAAAGTCATCTTTACAATCCCAAACCTTGAAACTCTCCTTCACACGCGATGACCTGATCACATTCTGTAACTCAAAATTGGTCCTCACTGCTCAGTGGAAATACCTGGACAAACTCACCTCGTACTCTCCTTCACACTCGATGATCTGATCACATTCCGTAACTCAAAATTGGTCCTCAGTGGAAATACCTGGACAAAGTCACCTTGTACTCTCCTTCACACACGATGAGCTGAGCTAGCACTTTCATCCAATTATTGCTGGTCACACCGAATCTGTCCAACACTCCAATTGGGCTGTCCTTGCAGTAGTAATCGATTACCTCTTTTGGAATCAACCCTTCCTTGACGCATCTGACCAACTCACGAACACATGGGCCGAGCCAACATGATACCCCAGCAACTCATATACTTCCAGGTCTTCCAGATATCCGTTCGCATTATGCAGCTGCCTTAGCGTCAAGTTCACATTCCGTAACTCAGAATTGCTCCTTGGTGGAAACACCTGGACAAAGTCATCCTCACTATCCCGAAATTTGAACTCTCCTTCATGCACGGCAACCTGGCCTAGCACAATCATTCATTGTTGGTCACACTGAGTCTGTCCAACACTTCAATCGGGCTGTCCTTGCAGTAGTAATCCACCGAGGCGCCGCGTACTTGTACCAATTGTTCCAGTACATAGCTAAAAATTTGGACCATTTCTCAATTTATGTGTGTCATGTTGTTATCCTTATGCAGGGCCATGCTAATCTTCTCTGTATCGCTCCAATTTCAACGGATGTCCTGAAGAACTGTGTAGGAATCTCTCATTCCTGGTTAGTGCCCGAATCCTCCCACCCGCTCGGCACAGACTTGGGCTGGCTCTCAGAGCATACCTGCTTCGCATACTGACAACTGGATACTCACACGAGTACTTTCCAGGACGAATCTGACTGGAATTCCACCATGATAGATGTATTGGACCGTAATTACGCCCAGAGCGTAGTCCAAAAAGTCTTAGCGTGAGTATGCTCGGAGGCCATACTCACACCAGGACTTTTTTACTTGTTTCTGGACGTAATTATGGTCAGGTATATCCACGTTATGGTCAAATACATCTCAGGTTGTGATAGTGTGAGCGTGCTCTGATAAGAGCTGAGTATGCTCAGCCGGAGATGAACAGCATCAGCGAGTGTCAGCTCCACGCACCAATGACAACCATCTTCACTTGAATAGAATGCCCTGTCATTATTGCTGCATCTGGACTGAAAATTGCTCCTTCTGCAGCTATAATGACCAGGCGTTCTATTTGGGTGAAGACCGTTGTTGTTCGGCAAGAGCCGGTTCACCCGGTGAAGATCATCATAGGAGGCTGATAAGGCTTTTGAGAATCCTGATGTCCGGACAAGGACCGTCCAAGTGGATTATAAGCCATACCTCTCCCATTAGACAACCTTAATTGTGTGGCTGGCAGCTGTGAGGGAGGAGGAAGGCTTTGATTATCACACTCTGTGCCCCCTTTCCCAGCACCAAGGCTGACGTTTGCCTGCCCCTCGACCAGATACTGATTACTTGGTATTTGCAGCATGCTCCTGTTACTAGGACTCGATGCCACAATGCCGCCGCACCGCGGAGATCCATGCTCGTCACTCGAGGATGCTTCATCTTCATCCATTTCATAATTCTCCTCACAACTACGGCCACAAAGCGCCGCATTTGGTTCAGATATGCTGCCCGAACTTCGTTCTGCAGACCATGACACCTGACATTGTCCTTTACCATAACTCGGAGTCGGCGATGCACTACGATTCCTCCCATTCCTAGAGCTGGGAATTGGTGATGAATGCCATTCATTTCTTTCCCTGGAAATAGGAGATAGACACTGTTCCTCCTGATCACAGGGAACGGGTGGCGGACATCCTACATTATTGAAGGTGGGAATGGCAGCTGGCCCGCCAGAGTTTCTGCAGTGCTTCTGGACATCGTGCCGGCCACTTCTTGCTGCATGATATCCCATGATTGGCTCGTTCTCTGGCCGATCCTGTGTATAACGTTCATAAGAATCTGATGCTGAGGAGGATTGAGTCATTTGGGCCTGACAGTGCTCACGTGATGATCCAGATTGACGATGATGCTGCAACTCCCTCCCGTTCAGGTTACAAGGGCTGTCTCTTCCCTGCCTCTTCTGCTGAGTTTTTGCCATCTTTATTTGCATCAGATAGTCAAAGACTACCCATGGGAAGCTCAATAGCGGTTCGGACGCTTCGTTGCCATGACACAGAGCCTCAAAGAGATTGAGGAAAGATGGGTGGTACGTCACATAGTAATATGCAGACGCACATGCTTTGCGGTTATGTTCAAGGAATTCCTGATCACTGTCGTCCACATCTTCAAATCCTCTATCGAACTGTTGGCGGAACTCTTCTCTCAGCTTTCGATACTCCTCGCGAAGTGCTTCGCGAGTGTCCGTTCCACGACGAAAAGATCCGATCCGCCTTGTGAAACACCCAGCGACAATTTGTCCTTCATCCTTTATATCATACGAATTCATCAGGTTTCGGAGTTTTTGATCGTAAGCCCTCTTTGGATCTAGGGCATCAAAAATGAACCGCCGGAAGTCCTCATACTCCAAATCCTCGTCATAAGAATTCCTTATTTCATCAATGGTGAGCTTCTTCCACAGTTCTTCGCTATCAGTTATCCTCTTCACTTTCCTGTAACCAACAAAAGATGCAGATTGTGAACATATCAGGGCTTGATTTTTTTATTTTTTTTATTTTTTTTGACCCATCAGATAAGAAGTTGAGAACTTGATAGACAGTAGAAGCTAACTCCTTTTTTACTTTTCTTTTTCTAAAGCAGGTGGGCCATAATGGAGGTAAGCCCGAAAGGAATTCGTATGAACCGGGATTCCTCGGCCATAACGGAGGCCTGGGATTCCTCGGCCATAACGGAGGCAGGCCTTTACATATATCGTCAAATAGAACTGCCCGGTAAACCGTAGGCAGAGAGGGAGAAGAGGACAACAAACGAGGGGCTGTGACAAACTGTTTCGTCGGAGTTTCACCGACTCATCAGGAGGCTGAACCCTCAACAGTCTGTAGAATCCCCTCACTGATTACACTGTAAGTGATAATCCACCTTAACCAAAATCAAAGTAGACTATCACTCACCCACACCAGATGGAAAACTCTACAGACTGTCGGTTCACACCCCATCACAAGCCAGCAAAACACCCACGAAACAAAGAAAGGTCTGTCACAGCCAAGAAATACACTCCAGACACGCCGCTGGCACTAGAGGCACAGCATGGCCGCGTAGTGACGGCCCCGACCACTGCCGCTCGACCTGACCGGAGAAAACCGTAGCAGGAAGTACACTCTATGCCTTCCTCCATTGTGGCCGAGGAATCCCGAGTCAGAGGCACTGATTGCTCCCTTAGGGGGAGGATTTACATCTGATCACCCCTGTTTCAACTTCCTTTCTCTACTACTTCTATTCCATTTACGAACTACCCTGCTCTCTTATTCCCATCTGTTTAACTCCGCTCGCTGTACTGCTCCTTTTTCATTGCTTTATACATATCTTATACCGACTATCATTCAACAGAGCGTGGAGAATGTGCACATGGAGATTGGGCCTTTCCGTCCTTTACTTTTATTTTTTTCGCTTGAAATACATTCATGCGCATCACTAAGTAGATGACGAGGCATTTGGCTACCTTAAACCACCAGTACTTCCTAAAGTTGTGCCCATTAACATGCCACAATTTTAGGAAACGTACGGGCCACTACAGGAGCGCCCAAGTTCATCCGACCAGAAACATTTCTACTCTATTTTTTTCCACAGTCGATAGCTGGGCCAAGTACTGGTGGTTTAAGAGAGTCATAGTTACTCCCGCCAAATGTCGAAGTGAAGAAATTCAACCAAGAGTGGGTCTTTCCATCCTTGTTCAATTACAGCTTAGCCAGCCCATCTGGGAAGGCAATTCTCTCAATCCATTCAACTTCATCAACAAGCTCATTTAATACACGGCAAGCAAGGGATAAGTCAGGATAACTTAAAAAATACTTGTGGCGAACCGCAAGGATACCTAGAGTGCATATGCAGCCAGCACATGGCATGCACTGCAGCCACGCGTCACATCCCATGTGTGCAAACACGTAAAATCCGGCTAAAACAAAAATGGGGGTTGAGGAGAGGGCAACCCATCTCCTCAAAGCAAAACAACGAGACAGCATTTAAATTCTTTTTGTGAGGCCGCTCAATCACAGCCAATCTCCCTGTTCTCAGAGTTAGATGAGGCGCATTCTGCACCTGCTCCTATAAACTATGAGATTCAATTTCTGGCACTATCATGGAACATCAACCACATCCTTGGCTTCAACTTCAACCATCACCAGTGTCTCCATTGCCAAAATCAACAAAGCCTACATCACCAGTGGGTCCATTCCCGCCTCGGTCAGCACTAGCCCTTCCCTCCTCGACCCCTTCCACAACCTCCCTCCTGAACCCAGGCCACATCTTCCCATCCCGCTTCCTCCTCCACCACTTCCTCATCTTTGTGTTCATTGGCATCCTTCCTCCTCTTTAATGTTCTACACCCCAATCTCCTTGTTCCTCCTGTTCATCATGCTCCTTCCCCTCTCATGTGATACTCTCTCTCTCTCTCTCTCTCTCTCTCTCTCTCTCTCTCTCTCTCTCTCTCTCTCTCTCTCTCTCTCTCTCTC